AAAAAAAAAAAAAAAACGGTAACTTAAGACAGCAGAGTAAGCATGTGATTTAAATTACCATCGTAAATAATGCTTGATATTATATGACGGGAATACTGGGATAATAAAGGGGAATTGTGCATAGCTGCCCGTGCAAGACCAGTGCTTGTCTTTTCTTTTAGATTATCGCTTCCATGCTGTTTCAAAGCATTAACAGCCGTTGGAATAGTCCTTTCCATTACCTCCTTCCTTTCACAAAACTGAATTTAGAAGTAACTCTCGTATGTAATAAGCCAACAAAAGGTTTCAAAGAACCGAATGTAAAATATTTGTACTAACAATATTATACTGCAATAGTTTGCCAAAAATCAAAATGATTACCGAAAAAAGACTCTCTAGAAGCACTATGGCTATTTTACAGTGTGGAGTATCCTGCATGCCAAAAGATACCGGAGTTGCCATTTCGTGTCCTAAGCAACTTTCCAACAAATCGATTAAGTCGGAACAGTATCGATCTATCGTTAAAGTAGCGCTAAAAACAGAGAAACAATAGTTTTTTTTTAGTAAAATAATGGTGGTTTTTGTAAATTATCCGCATCCCTTTAAATAAAAACTTCTAGTCCCAGTGTAAAATCTGGGGCAAAATTATCACTCGTAGTCTGTATAAAATAATTTCAACTAATCTTAAAATACTCACTTCACTTACAATTGTTGACACAAAAAGCATTTTTAAACGTAACTTGTTTCAAACAGTAAAAAAAGATTAATAATAAACAGAATATACTTTTTAGCTTACCGTATCGCAGACATAATCCTACTCAAGACAATTTCAATAATTCTTTGGTCATTGGTACTCCTGCAGTAACTTTGTTCATTGATAATTCGCTTAATTTTTTTGAAAACTTGTTCATTAGACCTAGAGGTATTCTGCAAGCACAAGAACATCATTAAAGCCTGCTATCAAAAGAAAATGACTTATAACGAAAATAAATAGAGTGAAAAATTCAGTAACTGTTCATAACAATTAAATAATTCAAGATTTTAAAACGATGTTATATAATTCTATTGAAGTTTATACACCTAATTTGAAAAACAACGACAAAAAGTTTCCTTCTGACTACAAAATGGCAGCCCTAAAAGATTTCTAGCGCAAAAAGTAATGTCCACTCCGTAAATATGTCGTTCCTACAAATAAAAAAAATGGCCAAATCAAGGTTAATTTTTAAGTACATTAAAAAATTGCACAACAGGCAAAAACATAATTTTAACTTTTACAAAACATCTTTTACCACCACTGTATTCGAAGTACAAATTTATAAACAAATTTAAAATGCATTATCCGAGCAAAAAAGGTTTAGAAGAAATTCGGCAACACGAAAACTCGCAGCACATAAATTGCCAAATGCAGAACTAAATTCAGCTAAGGTACAAGAAAGACGAAATCTCATTTTAAAAATTGTACAAAAAATAACCCTCTACAGTCCAGTTCACATACAACAATAAATCAGCGGTCTTGCTTGATCTTTCCTACTATTTAATCATTAACTGCATTCACAACTGTTTCAGCTCTGCATGTGATCTTATACTGTAAAAAATCTAATTGAAACTTTCTTAAATAGACTTGAGATAAAGACTAGTCTTTTTGCCATCATCTAGACTTTTGCAAAGCAAAATACTCGCGGTGTTTATGCTTAAAAGTTTGTCTTAAACTGAAAAGCTAAGCATAATTGCTTCTTCCTAAACCAGAAACCGACAATGATTAAGTTGCAGTCTGCTAAAAAAACCCAACCACTCACGCAACACTAAAGTTGAATAATTCAAGAACTTTTAAAAACAAATATGCTATAAGAGGTGTTTTGAGTAAAAATTAGTCCAGGAATTACTCGAACATTTTCTAATTAGACATAACTTTTCAGTCTTACCAACAAGCACATACTTAGACTTTTTGATAAAATAAAAAACACACGAACAAAACAAAAGAGAAAAAACAGAACCGTCAGTTGTACCCGTAAAATAGTCGCTTTCTGAACAAATTTTAAGTAAAATTTTTTCCAATTATACATTGTAAAAAACTAAAACAAGGTTTCAGCTTTTAAGACAATAAAAAAGTTTTTCCTTTTCAAAAGTGTCATTTAAAAATGGTAAAACTTGTTCATTTTTAGCAATTAACAATGTTTATGCCAACTCAAAAGTTAACGCTCTAAATAAAAGCTTACAGCTGCAAAAAGTTTTAAGCTGATGCAGTTGAAAAATTATAAATTGACAGCAAAAATCAGGCACAGTAGAAAGACATGCCTGTCTTTTCTACAAGCATAGCAAACGTTCTCAAAGAATTCCTAATAAAAACCTGAAAACTCAAAAGAAAAAAACTACTTAAAACATTAAACAATAAAGAGGTTTCTTGTTTCCTTGAATTACTGCTATATGCATTTGCAAATATCGCCAGAAAAAAACAATCAAATCATGACACCAAATACTATAAATGTGAAAATAACTTTTTTTTATGGTTCCGTTGAAAAAAAGAAACAAGCAACTGCGGCAGTTTTACAAAAAGAAAAGTACATTGAATATCCAAATATCTAAATAGTTTGCAAAAAAATATATCACCCTTCCTAACAGTATCAAACAGAAAAGCGAACATAACAAAAAAATATATTCAAGAAAAATTATAAATATATATAACTTACAAAAATATTTTCCGTCTAAGATGACGTCAAAAAAAGAGGTGATCATGTTTTTCCACTTTCCAAGTTTGAACAGAGGAACTTGTTAGTTTTTTGAAAAAAATTGAAGTCACGAAAAAAAGGCCACATAAGAAATAAATTTTACGCTTACTATCGCCCTCCTACACAACCCCTTAAAGTTTAGAATGCTAAAATCAGCGTAGAACCGTGCAGTTTTCTCACTAATCTTTGTTAAAAAATGTTCTTTGAGTACTGAAAATATACAAGAAATAAGAAGAGAAGCTAAAACAGTTGTATCAGCAATTGCCTAAAGAAACTTACTGTCCAGATACTCAGTCTATAAACAAAGTACCAATCAAATGCTACTGATCAACTGTACCGCTCTGTCGTAAAAATAAGATAAAGCTTGGTTTAGCAAATGTGAAAAAAGTAATTTAACGAAATGACGAATATGTACAAAAGACTTGCCCAAAAGTTCAAATTACTTAAACTTTTGAACAAATTTTTCGTATACCTCTGTCATTAAGTTAATTCAATTTTTTCCAGACTGCTAAAATCATAAATCTCATCCTTGCTTGAGGTTTTTCAAGAAATAGACAACTTTACAATTGGCAAGATAAGTAAAAAAAAAACGCTTATATTTCAACTGCTCACTAATAGTTCCATTAAAATTAATATTGGTATATTAATAGTAAAACAGAATATGAGGCAAATTTCTGGTAAAAATCAAAAGAGCAATAAAAAATTTTTAGCTCTTTTTAAACATCACAGCACCTACAATGTAACAACAAAAACTGACGTATTCGTCGGGGTTTTACCAGGCATAACAACATTTGAGCATATGTTCGTCGGTAAAATTTGCCTGTCTGGAATAGATACAACTACAGCTTACAGCTTGGCTCGTCATCGAAACGTTTCATCAGCCATTTCCCACACACAGTTTTATGTTTTAGCCATCCCAAAGACTAGAGTGATTAAACAACAAAGACTGTAGCTCAAAATAAAGATAGACAAATTTTTGTTCTTGAAAAATAGCTGTACTTCCACCACCCTCATTATCTATAAATTTAAAGCACTGTTTTTTCACTCCGTATTATTTCCGCTATTTCTCTTCCTCTCTTTTTTTTCTGACAAGAAAATGAATTGTAACATCAAAATATTACCACCTGATTTTATAGTTGAAATAGATTTATTCCCATTTCCATCCAATACAAAGCTGTAAGTATCAATAACAGAGCAGTATTTATGACTGTATAAATCAATAACTCGTAAACATAGTTGTTTGGTGCCATTATATGAAAAAAAACAGCTAATATCGTATCTTAACCAGAAGAACAGAACGATGATAAGTCAAGAAATGGTAAAGTAGAAAACGCAGAATAATATAAGAACAGTTTTTCCTAGAGTTTTTCATGTGAAGATAAGCAAAACGATAAAAAAAGAGCATTAAGAGGCAGCACTAAGAAATGTTTGAATTTTTTTTCGTATTGTTGAATTTTAATTTTCCGAGTCTTCCTTAATTTTAAGATTTCT